TTTTTTTTTGAGACAGAGTCTCCCTCTGTCGCCCAGGCTAGAGTGCAGTGGCATGATCTCGACTCACTGCAACCTCCGCCTTGGGGGTGCAAGCAATTCTCCTGCCTCAGCCTCCCATGTACTGGGACTACAAGTGCGCACCACCACGCCTAGCTAATTTTTGTATTTTTAGTAGAGACGGGATTTCACTATATTGGCCAGGCTGGTCTCGAACTCCTGACCTTGTGATCTGCCCACCTTGGCCTCCCAAAGTGCTGGGATTACAGGTGTGAGCCACTGCACCTGGCCCCATAAACTCTGTGTTTTCCCTGCTATGTTTATTGTCTGTCTTCCCTGCCAGAATGTAGGCTCCATGAGGATAGGGGTTTTGTCTGTTTTGTATCTGCCGTGACCCCAGCACCTAGAACAATGCCTAGCACTGAAACAGTATTTGTGGAATGAATACCAGCATGCTTGATCAGCATCTGAAGAATAAGCAGATGCATGAGCAAATAAACACATGGCCTTGTGTTCCCTCATTCCATCCCAAGAACCCAGCTTTGTAGCTGGGCCCACTGCCCTTACCACATGTACCCAAGACTCCAGCACGGAGTCTCGGTCATCCTTCTCTCTTGCCCCAGGTGTCAAATGTGGGGGTGTGCTCTCAGCACCTTCTGGAAACTTCTCCAGTCCCAACTTCCCTAGACTGTACCCCTACAACACAGAGTGCAGCTGGCTAATCGTGGTGGCTGAGGGCTCCTCGGTGCTGCTCACCTTCCATGCCTTTGACCTGGAGTACCATGACACCTGCAGCTTCGACTTCCTGGAGATCTACAATGGGGCCTCACCAGACAAGGGCAACCTGCTGGGGAGGTTCTGCGGCAAGGTGCCCCCGCCGCCCTTCACCTCGTCCTGGCATGTCATGTCTGTCGTCTTCCACTCGGACAAGCACGTGGCCAGCCGTGGCTTTTCTGCGGGCTACCAGAAAGGTTAACGGGGGGCCTTAGGGACCTGGTGCAGTGGCTCACACCTGTAATCCTGGTGCTTTGGCAAGCCAAAGTGGGAGGATGACTTGAGCCCAGGAGTTCAAGGGGGGATTTGGCAGTGGAAGAGCTGGTTCTGGGGTGGAGGTGGGAAGATAGCAGCAGGGCTCAGGTGAGACCTGCAGGGTCTCATCATCTTGGCACATAGGCTGCTCTGTATCCTGCACGACCCAGCTTTCATGCATAGTTTATAAGGCAAAAGCAGCCGCCTCACTGTTCATGACCATGCTGGTAATCCTGGTAGCTGGGGTTCCCACCTTCATGGCAATGCTCCCCATGCCTCCCTCCATTTCTCCCGGAGTCCTCAGAGGGTCGCACTGTGCTCAGGAATGAGGCTCTCACGCTCTACTACCCTTGTCCTTCTTGTCCTCTATCATGGCATAAGGCCACAGGAGGGGACACCACTGCTGTTGCCACCTTCTGCGGCATCCCACCACTTCACAGCTTGGGAATCCTTGCCTGAGTTCCCGCAGTAGGGTCTGGGTGTAGCTGGTGACTCTTATATCATGTGTCCCTAACCCCTCCCTCCTTCAACCAGGCTTGACACTTGCCTCTCGCTCTAGTGAGGGGAGAGGAGGTCTTGCTCTTCTTGTTCTCTTTGACTCACTCATCCTTGTCCCCAGGTTCTGTGCAAAGGCTCAAACCTCCTGCTTCTTCCCAATGCCAGAATCAAGGCCTTGTTGGTGTTAGCTCAAACAGTAGACACCCACAGAGGCTACTGGTCCCCAGGGTCCACCAACAACAATCTCAGGGGACTCAGGTGGGACCCCAGTCACTGCTGCATTTAGAAGGATAGAATTGTAGAATGCCACAACACAAGAACCATAGGCTGATCTAATAATAGTTTTGGAATTTTAGACCCTTAGATTTGTAGAATGTTAGGATATCAAAGTCATAATACCATCAGCCACATTTCCCAACAATTTTTTTTTTTTTT